GGGCATGTGCATTGTAGCGGGGTTTAAAGATTCAGGCTGGACTCGGGGATCCGCGCGCCTGCATGCGAGAGTACGTGTATTGGAACATGCTAAGATAATACACAGTTGACACATATGTGCAACAGACGTACACTTCGTGCAAGTATCCTTGATGTTTCCGTTTGTTGTTGTTACTCTGTGATTGACGGGTTGACGTCGATATTCGGGAACCCTGCGCCTGCATGTGAACGCACATCCGTTGATACATGATCAGTGTTGTGTCGGTTGAAACACATGTACGCAACATCGCCAATTCTCACAACTACCCTTTTTCTTTCGTCCCGCTATTCTGCCACACATATATACTACTCTTTCATGTTTTTCCCCCTCGCTTCCCTCCTTGCCGGCCCTGCTTTGGCGTGGCTCGCGCTGCGCAGTGTGACTTCAAAGGGCGATTCAATCAAATAGTTGTTGGCGGTTGATGACAGCGGCGCAGATGGTGACGAGTTTCGCGCGTGGACGGTTCGGTTCCCCAACCCAGAAGTGGGCCCAAATACTTCCCTGCCCCGAGGCCCGCAACGCATCGGCGATGCGTCGGCGACGCGGTTCGACATGGGGCCCACTGTTCTCCGCGCTGGCGGCGCCGATGCATCGCCGACGTGCGCATATCTTCTCGGCGGGGACCATCAGCCGAAGAAAAAACGCCATCAATTGAAGACGAAAAAAAACTAGGCCCCCTTGCCAGCGCTGCCGGCGCCGCCCCTGGCGTGCTCCGCGCGCCAGGGAGGAGGGTCCAGGGCAAATTCAAAAAAACGCGCAGAGGGCCAAAAGTTTCACCCTGCGCCCCGGATAATAAAGGGTCCCCCCTCCCTTCCTTCCTGCGAGGTGGCTTTCCCCGGCACATGCAGATTGGGTCGGGGGAGGGGCGGCAAGGCCGAACTTTCTCATCGCGGGGGAGAGTTGCGAATCGAAGAAGCTATCTTCTCATGTTGGCTAGCAACATCATTAAAAACGTGTGGCATGGCAACGTGGGTTTCACCATTTCAACTTTCCCAAGTCACGAACGTGGGGCAGGGTCATCAGATTCTCACCACTTCAGCTTTCCCTTGTCACGAACGTGTGGCAGGGCTTTGGGAGTCTCACTCTCTCAGTCCTTCCCGAGCCAGAAACGTGTGGCAGGGCGATGGGATTCCCACCATTGCAGCTTTCCTTCGTTACGAACGCGTGGCAGGGCCATCAGATTCTCACCACCTCAGCTTTCCCAAGCATGAACGTGTGGTTGGGGCATGGGGCTCTCACCATTTCAGCCCTTGCCGAGTCAGGAACGTGTTGCAGGGCCGTATGATTCTCACCATTTCAGTTTCCCCAGCGCGGGCAAGCTTGAGGAACTCAAGAGCCGTGCCAAGGATTTCAGAGCAAAAGGAAAGCATCCTTGTCGTCGTCGCCGTCGTCGTCGACTTGCAGGGACAAATAGTTTAGTATCTCCCCTGGACCCCGAACTTTATTCCCCCCCAGGTGTTATCCGTAAGGGTTTCGCTCCCATGCTGCCGGTCCCCCTCTCTCAAAATGGGATTTGCCAGAGCTGTGTTGGGATGAGCGTTGACGTGAAGCAATGTCGGGACTTCACGCGAGGGTCAATATTGATCTACGAGGTTTTATGGCTTTGGTGGCGCGAATACCAAGTACTTTACAATTGTTTATGGTTTCGGGGACGCGAGAATTTAGTACATCATGATGGGTTGTGGCCTCGGGGACGTACACATTGCGTAATTTACAGGGGTTCGTGGCTTCGGGGGCGCAAAAAGCACTTTAATGTTCAAGGGTCTGTGGCCTCGGGGACACGAACACGGTCTAAGTTGCGGGGGGTTGTGGCTTCGGCGACACACGCATTGTGTAATGTGGACGCGAATAGCGCATAATGTTCGAAGGTTTATGGTCTCGGGGGCGCGAACACATGTTAATTCACATGAACGTTAGCTCTGGGTCGCGAACATTATGTAATTTACATGGGTTCATGGTCTCGGGGACGCGAATATGGTGTAATGTACAAAGGATTATGGCTTCGTGGACGCAATACTGTGTAATTTACATGGGTCTATGGCCTCGGGGACGCGAATATGGAGTAATTTACAGAAGGGCTTCTGGCTTCGGGGACGCGAATATCAAGTATTTTACGTGTCCGACGCCTCCTTGGTAATTCAGATTACGCGATCTGGGCGTGGTAAAACAATGATGGTTTGGGGCTCCCCCTCCTCGCGCGTTCAGCAACAATTAACAATAAGAAAAGAGAAAGCAGGACTGTAACAGTAGAAACTGGAAACTGCAACTGGCACAGGGAGCTGCAATCTTCACCCTCGCAGCCTGGTGGCCCCGCAAGGGGGCCGACTGATTCTCACGGGTACTTGTTTTTGTTGGCAGCTTTTTTTTCCAATCAAGGAGCACCCTGAACCACCGAGCAACAAAGGCACGCGCGAAGCCAAAACATGCACAGGAAATGGACGCCCGAGCGACGGCAAGGGGGCAGAGAAACCGCCGCGAGTTCTTGGGCGTTTCTTCGGTTTTTTTGGGGGGCCCGTCAGGCGCCAGAAAATCCGTGTGACCTGCCCCGGCCGCGCCCAGGAACGCCCAGAAGATTTGGAATGTTGGGCCCTCGGCCCTTCAAATGCTTGTTACAATGCTTTATACAGACAGCTCGAAGGCAGACGCGGGGTACAATCTCCAGTCAGAGTTTCAGAATGGTTCCAATTCGCGCGCGCGCGTGGCGGCCCGTGGGGTCCCCAGACGAAAAAATCCAGCAAAGTTCCAACAAGTCCCCGGCAGGTCCCTGGCAAGGTCGGACCACGGATGCCGGAATTCCGGGACGCCGCCCTGGGGGCCCCAGGAGCGCCCCAGGTGCACCCCCAAGGACCCAACGGGTTCAGGCCAAGAGCGTTCCAGGACGGTTCAAGCTGATCTGAAGATTTGCCAAGAGGCGCTCAAGACGCCCCAGGAGGGCCCTAAGAGGGCCCGAAGAGGTAACAATCATTGATGTTGCTCCGGTTTTCGAAGGATTATGCTATTACCGTCTTTTCGAATTTCCGACCGCCAGGGTGGCCCAAGGGGCCTCCAAGATCACCTCAATCCAGACCAGGAAGTTCCCAGGACGGCCCCAATACGGCCCAAGAGGGCCCCAAGACGACCAAAGAGGCTTCACGCGAGGTCTCCAGAGCACCCCATATGAGGACCGCAAGAGGGGGAACCCGAACAGACATGTCGAGCCTTCCCCGAAATTTGGCCCCCCTGACCGCCAGCAGGCCTCCAAGAAGCCTTCAAGAGGTCCCCAGAAACCCAAGACCCCAAGAGGCACCAAGAGGTCCCAGAAATTATGCCAAGAGGCCCCCGAGAGGCCTCCCAAGAGTCCCCAAGAAGCATTCGAAAGAGGCGTCTTGTCCACGACCCAGTTTGGACCCCACAGTGCCCCAAGAAGCCGTCGAGATGCCTCCTCCTGCTCCTCCTCCTTCCCTATCGAGTCCCCTATCCTCCTTCTCGCCTGTCATGGGCACATTCACATATAGCAGCAGTGGAGCAATATGGACCGGCGGAATGAGCGAAGCGATTACAATAGTTACAGTGTTCTATACAGACAGTTCGAGGGCACTTGCGGACATTCCAGCTCGTGCCTCAGGGCGCGGTGGCGGATCATGCGGGGTCCAACCGTCGGAGAAATGTTTTCTCGCGCGCGTGCTCCGCGACCGCAGCTCTCGCTTTGCATTTAAAATCTGGCGTTTGCTGGGTTGCGTTCCGACCCGAGCTCGATGAACGTCAAAGCCGTTTGGGGACTTTTGCAAGGGCCTCTCAAAAAGTCGGGCCCTGCACCACCGCCTTCGCAAAAACTGGAAATGTGGACTGACAAGAGTTGCGTTCCATTGGATTTGGCGATGGCAGCAGAGGTCCAGGCCGAGCAGTTTTGGTGTCGCCAGTCAGTGACAATTTCAAAATGTCATGATTTGGGAGTCGTCCATGATTGTGAGGCCCGATCTGGGTATTCTCGTTGGACGGTTCCTGCCAGGCCGCAGCCAGTGAGACGGTCCATGCCTTGAGCAGTGCGTCAGGTTGGACCAACGCTGTCAGTTGCCGCACATCGCAATGAACGTTGTGCGTCGCAACGCAACACTCAGAATGTTATTTTCCGCACGGGGGTGGGGTGGCGACAGCTGATACCGTTCGCGACATTCTCGTGGCTCTTGTGTTGAGTAGCAGTGCGGACCCCATGCCCATGGGGGGGGACGAGAATGAGCAGAATGAGGAGGAGAGGTGGAGAATGCGGGTGGACTTGGTATTTCAAGAGCATTGCTCTTGCGGCCAGACGAGCGCGAGCGCACGTTGCCCACTCCGAGGCTCTCGGGCCCCTCGCCAGAGCAATGCGAGAGGCGCTGAAAGAGGCTCGGTTGCGTGGACATCTGCGCACTAGTTTCTCGTGTGAGCGCCAGCTTTTCCACGCTGCGCCCTACGTCGACAGCCTGCCGGGGCCGAGGGCGGCGCCCATGGCCGGGGCCGGGGCCGAGGTGGGGGGAGCTCCCTTGCCGGAGACCACCTCCCTGTCCTCCTTCTGCATGCACAGGGGGGACCGTCCGGCAGGGGTGGGGGTCGGACCCCTCCCCCCGGGACCCCACACACCCCCGAGCGGGAAGGTATCAAAGGTAAGGGGTTCCCCTTCCATATCTTTAGGACGTTCGATTTCGTAGGGGTTGGAGAGTTCGTCAGGACCTCCACGTCCCCTCTCGCTCCGGGTGTTGGCCAGGAGCCCCCGGGAAGGAGGAGAATAGCGACGACGACGACAGCGACGACTATGACGACGAACGGAAGAGCGTCTCACACACGCCGACAGGGTCGGCGGGATTTCTCATTTTTCACACAAAATCTGCCTGTAGGAGGACATGCCCGACCTGATGTAAGACCCCTTGTTGATCGTCGCTCGCCTGTGGCCCTGGGTTTCCTCTGTCGCTCGCGCGCCCGCGGGCGGGGTCGCACGCGCCCAACAGGCCCAGCAAGCCCAGCTGGCGCAGCAGCAGCAGCAGGCCCAGCAGCAGCAGCAGGCCCAGCAGCAGCTGCAGGCCCAGCAGCAGCTGCAGGCCTCCCCCCCCCCCTCTCGGCCCAGATCCTCCCGTCAAGTTGCGAAAAAAACACAACGGGAGGTTTTTCGCTACTTTCGGTTTTGGGGGAACGGCTCGCGAGGAAAAACCGTTCCCGGGGAAGGGATCTGGACTTTGGGCGTCGACGATGTGAAAAAAAACATGAAAACATGACGTTGGAAATCTGGAGGCCCATGTCCTCCCCTCCCTTCCCCCTCTCCCCTCTCTTTGACGAGCGAAGAACGATAAACTTTCTCGCCGTCGGGGGCGCCTATCCCAGGGGGGCTGGAAAGCTTATACCCCTACGGTGGCACGCCAGGGTATAAATTGTCCAGCCGTCCTGTGACAGGCGCCCCCGGTGACGAACAGGTTCATGTTATCCTTAAGGGTTTCGCCCCATGCCGCCGGCCCCCTGTCTCGGAGAATGGGAAATGCAAAAGCTAAATCATGAGGTCTGGGCGCCGCCGTGAAGCAGTGTCGGGACCTGTTTGTTTTTCGACCCTGACCCTACGGATCTGCGTCACGGGTGCCACAGTATTTCAGAAATGTAGCAAATCCCTGAGTTTTTGGACCCTGACCCTACGGATCTGCGTGAGGGGTGCCGCCGAATGTCAGAAATGGGGCAAATCCCTTGTGTTTTTGAACCTTGACCCCACGGATCTGCATGAGGGATGCTGCCGAATTTTAGGAATGTGGCAAATCCCTTGTGTTTTTGGACCCTGACCCTGCGGATCTGCGTGAGGGGTGTCACCGAATTTCAGAAATGTGGCAAATCCCATATGTTTTTGGACCTTGACCCGCCGATCTGCGTGAGGGGTGTTACCGAATTTCAGAAATGTGGCAAATCCCATGTGCGTTTTTGCACCCTGATTCCGCCGATCTGCGTGAGGAGTGCCACCGAATTTCAGAAATGTAGCAAATCCCTTTTGTTTTTGGACCCTGACCCTACGGATCTGCGTGAGGGGTGCCGCCGAATGTCAGAAATGTTGCAAATCCCATGTGTTACTGGACCCTGACCCTACGGATCTGCATGAGGGGTGCTGCCGAATTTTAGAAATGTGGCAAATCGCTTTTGTTTTTGGACCCTGACCCTGCGGATCTGCGTGAGGGGTGTCACCGAACTTCAGAAATGTGGCAAATCCCATATGTTTTTGGACCCTGACCCCGCCCATCTGCGTGAGGGGTGCCAGCGAATTTCAGAAATGTGGCAAATCCCATGTGCGTTTTTGCACCCTAACCCCGCCGATCTGCGTGAGGGGTGTCACCGAATTTCAGAAATGTGGCAAATCCCATATGTTTTTGGACCCTGACCCCGCCGATCTGCGTGAGGGGTGCCAGCGAGTTTCAGAAATGTAGCAAATCCCGTATGTATTTGTACTCTGATGTTGGTGATTTGCGTGAGGGGTGTTACCGAATTTCAGAAATGTGGTAAATCCCATGTGTTTTGGGACTCTGACCCCGCCGATGTGCGTGAGGGATGTTAATTTTTACCCACCCCAGCAATTCAGAGCACACGCTCGGGGCGTGGTGAAGATGCCCGTTTGGGGCCTCCCCCCCTCGCGCGGTCCATCAACAAGGAACAGTAAGTAGCACGAAGCAGAACTGTAACAGTGGAAACTGGAAGCTGCAACTGGTGCAGGAAACTGCGAACCTTCGCCCTACAGCCTGGTGGCCCCACAAGGGGGCCGGCGGATACAGCTCTTCGCCTTTTAGCCCTCCCCTCCCGCTCTCCATCTTTTTTGTTGAAATACACAAATTGTGCATAAGCATATCCGTAAGGGTTTCGCCCTCTGCCGCCGGCCCCCTCTCTATCAGAATGAGATATAGCAGGGTTATGTGTGGATATTTGGGCGCTGTCTTGAAGCAGTATGGGGACAACGTTGGGATGAGATTGTAGCTTCTGGCTTTCTCTGTCAAAATGAGAGAAGGATAAAACAGAAATCAGATTGAAGCAATGCGGAGGCATCGTCCAAGACGGCTGGGGAATCAGCAAAACATATTGGGACGATGTGGCTGTTTGTACGCGTTGTTGCTTTCTCATAGCGGTTTCCTCAACTTGTATATTGGGTGCCCACTTGGAAGGATTGGGGGGTACTTGAGACCATCTTGAGTAAAACCGCTTGGTCGGGACTGCCTTTGGGTTTCTGGCCTCGGGAGCGTGACTCGGGTGTAATTTGCATGGGATTGCGGCATCGGGAGTGTGAATCAGGCGTAATTCGCAAGGGATCGTGACTTCGGGCAGAGCGAATCTGACGTAATTTACAAGGGGTCGTGGCCTTTGGAGCGCGAGACTTGCATACTTAACTAGGCATCGTGGCCTCGGGAGCGTGAACCTAGCATACTTTTCAAGGAATCCCAGCCTCGGGGGCGAGAGTCTAGAATAATGTACGCCTCGGGAGCGCGAATCTGGCGAAATGTATTGAGCTCATGGCCTCCCCGACAGGGCCCCCATGGGCAACAAACTTTAATTGCTCTATGGTTTTTCAATGTTTTTCGGGTTCTCGCCTTTTCGGCCTAGTAGAGCCCAACACGGCCCACGAGGCCCCAAAGCTCGTCCCAAGACGGTCCCAGAGGCCCCCCCCAAAGAGGCCGACAACGGTCCACGAGAGCCCCCAGACGGCCCAATAGGGCCCCAAAACAGCCACAGAGGGCCCCAAGACGGCCACAAGAGAGCCCCAAGAGGCTCCCAAGAGACTCCCAAGGGGGGCCGAAGAGGCTGTATGGAGAGTAGAGTGGGCTGCTTGGGTGTGGGGACTGGGCTGGTCCCAAGCGTCCCAAAACGGCCCAGAATGGCCCAACACGGCCCACGAAGCCCCAAAGTTCGTCCCTAGGCAGCCCCAGAGGCCCCCCAAAGGGGCCGACAACGGTCCAAGAGTGCCTCCAGACGGCCCACAAAACAGCCCCAGAGGGCCCCAAGACGGCCCCAAGAGGGCCCCACGAGATGCCCAAGGGGGCCCGAAGAGGCTGTATGAGGCCTGGGCTGCTTGGGTGTGTGGACTGCTTGGCTGGTCCCAAGAGGGCCCAAGAGTCCCAAAACGGCCTTCAAGAGGGCCCCCGAGAGGGCCTCAGGCGGCCGAAAGTATTGATTCCCCTATGCTTGTTCAAGGTTGTTCAAGGTTGTTGGCGTTCTCGCTTTTTCAAGCCCAAAATGGCCCAACAAATCCCAAATATCGTCCCCAAACGGCCCCAGAGGTCCCAGCGGGCACCACAGCGGCCCAAGAGAGCCCCAAGACGGTCCCACGAGAGCACCAAGACGGCCCCAAGAGGTTTCCAAGAGGGCCCGAAGAGGCAGTGTGGGGACTGGGCTACTCGGGTGTGGGGACTGGGCTGGCCCCAAGACGGCCGAAGAGTCCCAAAAGGGCAACCAAGAGACTCCCAAGAAGCCCCAGAGACGCCAAGTAACACCATGGCTCGCCACAGCGAGCGGTGACGTGACAAGCTCTGAGCACCAAGGCTCCTCTCAGAGCTCGGTGACGTAAAGAACTCTGAACAGCAAGGCTCCCAAGAGCAAGCGGCAACGTACAAGTCTCTGAAACACCAGGGCTCCCAACAGAGAGCGGCAACGCAACAAGCTCTTAACGCCAAGGCTTCCCAGAGCGAAGGATGCCATGAGCCCTCTCGGGCAAATTCCTGCAGCGCTCGTTCCGTTCCCGTGCCGGCCCAGGTGTTCGATTCGTGTTCTTTCTTTTGAGGCCTCCTGGAGGCCTCTCTTGGGCCGACTTGGGCTCCTCTTGGGCCGTCTTGGGGCGCTCTTCCTCTTGGAGGCTTCTTGCGCCGTCATGGGGTTGTCTTTGGGTGGTTTTGGGGGCCTTTTGGGTCGTCTTGGAGAGCCGGGAAATGAAACAAGGTGAGAATGCAACAATTTCCCCCGAACCTCGAAAGAAACACAGTGGGTTTCTGCCTATTGCCCGGGCTCTTGCCCCTGCTCCTGCCTCTGCTCTGGGGCCTGACCCTGGGAGTGGCGCCCACCATCCGAAAGTTCTGAATCCGAACTTGTCTGACCCCTCCGAGAGTGGCGTTGGTACCAAAGTTCCTGGTCCCTGGACGTTGGCCTAGCTGGCGTGGGGGAAAGTCCACGGCGCGGCGCCCTGGGCTTTGGCCTAGCAGTCATGGAGGACCAGGGCGGTGCGCCCTGGACGTTGCCTGAGCATGCGGGGGGGAAGTCCAGGGCGTGGCGCCCTGGACCCTGGTCTAGCGGCAAAGTCCTGAGTAGGGGCTCTGGTGGAGCCCCTATTAGGGACTCAACTAGTGCAGTCCCTAGTAGGGGCTACACTAGTGGAGTCCCTAGTAGTAGGGGCTCTACTAGCACAGTCCTTAATAGGGGCTCCACTAGTAGAGTCCCTGGTAGGAACTCCCCGCATACGAAGTCAACTAGTAGGGACTCCACATGTGGAGCCCCTACTGGGGACTCGTTTTGGAGGCCTCTGGGGCCATCTTGAGGACAGCTTGGGCTTCTTGGGGCGATCTTTCGGCGTCTCGGGACCCTCTTGGACCGTCTTGAGAACCTCGTGGGGACTTCTTGGCGCGTCTTGGGGCCCTCTTGGATCCGAAACAGTCACGCGAGAAGATGCCGGGAACCCCAGGGGGGACTCGATAAGCCCAAGAAGATTTGGCAATTTGGGGCCCAGGCCCCTCTTAAAGACTCTTCAAGGGTGAAGATTGAGGCTTGCAGGAGGAGGAGGAGCAACGACCTGATATTACGTCCGCTCCATGGCCAGAGTCAGGGTTGTGGACATGTGTATATATGTATATATCTCTATAGCCGTACATACATATATATATATATATATATATATATATATATATATATATATATATGTATATATATACACATATATATATATATATATCGATTTGTCTATCAAATTATCTCTATATAAATTTATATAGACAACCCGTATCAGAGCGCATCATACTTGTCAAATTTCGATGCCCGGGCCGCCCATTGGCCTTCATAGGCCTCTACGCGCCCACGGCCGACGCGAGCCAGGAAAGTAACG